GATTTATGACACATCCAGGTGGGAGGGGGGGAAACAGGGTCACGGGTGACTGTAAATTACGTAGGGCAGAATTGGCTTCATATGGGTTAATGCTGGACATGTTGCTCCTAATAAATCTTTTGGTTTCTTTTGAAGCTTGGCTCAAGGCTCATGATTTAATTAGGGCAATTGCTGGAATCCTGACACTGTGGGTGCTCCATCACTGGAGGATTTTAAGAAGAGACTGGTCAGGCATTTGTCTGAAATAGTATGGGGTCTCTTGCTTGATCAAGGGGTTGGACTAGAAAACCTCCAACTCATTTTTCTGTTATTCCATTCTATTATCATAAACTAGTCCAATCTGTTTTCAAGCCAGCCAGGTTGGTAGCCACCACCATCTTGTGATACTGAATTCCAATGTTTAATTGTGCGCATCTTATTCATACATGTGAATTAAAGACTATATTAGGCAAAGAGCCAGTTTGGTGTGATGGTAAAGATATCAACTAGCAACTGAGAAACCCTGCGTTCTAGTCCTGTCTTAGGCACAAAGCCAGCAGGGTGAGCTTGGGCCAGTCCTTTCTCTCAGCCCTAGGAAACAGGCAATGGCAAACCACTTCGGAAAAACTTGGCCAAGAAAACTGCAGAGACTTATCCAGGCAGTCTCCAAGAATCAGACACAAATTGAATTGGGGGAGGGGAGAAATACACACACACATACACACTTGGCAAGGACTTCATCATCAAACTTCAGGTGTCTGCTGCCATGCCACTAATGTAGTTCTGCTTATAAATCCATGGGCTAATAACATAGAATATAGAATATCAGAGTTGGAAGGGAGTTGGAGATCTTCTACTGCTCAAACAGAAGACCCTATGCTATTTTAGACAGGTAGCTGTCCAGTCTCTTCTTGAAAGTCTCTAGTGATGGAGCACACCCACAGCTTCTGTAGGTAAGCCATTCCATTGGTTAATTGTTCTCGCTGGCAGAAAGTTTGTCCATAATTTTAGGTTGGATCTCTCTTTTATGAGTTCTGAACTGTTGAATTGTCAGTTTCCCTAGGCACCATTGAGTGCCAGCTCGCTCACACAGCCCTTCCCACCCTCCTCTTCCTCCACTTTTTTCTCACAATCATGCGTTTTCCCTTCAGTATTCTCACAAGAACACAAGCTCAAGAAAGTTCAATGCCACCTTCTCCTTTATCCACCACCATCTTTCCTCTGGAAGTGAGGCCAGGAAGAAGAAAATAGCAAAGCAATTTCTGCCTCCAAGAGCTTATCAAAAGCTGGGTCTTGTGTTGCTTGCCCACACACACACAGACACACACAAAGGGACAAAGTATATAAGTTGTGCTTTGATGTGGAGACACATGTCAATCTACGGTGAGCTTCCCATCTTCTTGTTGTTGTTTTTTGTATCCGATTCCTTTTTAGCCACTTTGATTAGATTTGGGGTTCCAGCAAATAAAATTGGATGTGCCAAGTAAGTCTGTTTGAAGCAATGTGTTCTCTATTGTGTTCTGACAGTGAGAATTTGCTGTTCTCCCTGGATACCTAGCCTCAAGGCAGCATAATCAGCAGAAATGTCAAGAGAGTTTTGATGCCCTAGAGACATTTGTTTTCCTTACATCCTCCATTTCCAAAAATGTTCTTTTATGATTGAGAGGAGCAAGGCATAAGGCTGCAGATTTGTGAAACATATACCAACCACTTGTTTTATAGACCCCCTGACAGTTATGGTGCATTTCTTTCTGCCTAAAATATTTATTTGACCATATGTGTAAGGGAGCTGCTTCAGTACACCTCACCCAGTCAGCACCCAAGAGTTACGCTAACATTCACCTTATCTTTGTCATACTATATTCACCTCCAAAGCCGCCTAGGAAACGTTTTCCTTACCTTGAAGTCCAAATCTCTGCTTCTCTTCCTTGAAAGCAGTAACTTTTGACAATATAAACAACAGGCATTGAGAGGAGAAAGAATCTGATTCAGGAAGAAAACACAATCAACCCTTTTACCCATGTTCTGTAGCATATATATGTTGTGTGTGTGTGTGTGTGTGTGTGTGTGTGTGTGTGTGTGTGTGTATGTATGTATGGTATTCAGCTTTGTTCGGGTATTTTCCCACGTCATTATAGTTGTGCTTTTAAAGTTGTAGCATATATATATATACAGAGAGAAAGACAGACAGAGAGAGGTAGGTAGGTAGGTTCCGGAGTGTCTTACATTTTGATACAAATATGACAATATTCTTTGTATTTAATACAGTTAACAATCTTTTACCATTTAATTTTAATATGTATATTTTGTTAAATTATCAATCTTAATTATTCAATATTACAGTATATTATTTTTGTGTCAATTTCTATGTTCTTAACATCACTCCTTTTACTACAGATTATATATTACTAATCATATTTGCAGTGTTTAACAAATTATATAGTTCTAATAACAATTCATGAATTTATATTAAATTATAATTTTCCATTGTTTATCCCCTTTTTAATTTTCAATTATGCCACTATTATTATTATTATTTTTTTAAAAAAATCCCCTTTCTAGTCACATTTTGATAGAAGTAAAATAGACATGTGTTGTTTATAAGCCCCTTGAAAATCTTGATTTAGAAAGTTCTGTCATACAACTCACCCAAAGAAATGTTTCCCTCTATTTATATCTTACTGTTAAAAATGATTAAATCTATTGTTACACAGGTTTGAGGAGTAAGGAGAAAATATGGAGAGCAAAGTCTCCCAACCCTTTGATCTCTTTAAAAAAACTAGATCTAATGTCTGTCTTTCTTTAAAGTGGATCCTATCTGGGCAGAAAGCAAAATATTTTGTCCAAAGAAGCTTCTCAATTCCCTCGTTTATATCTTTTCCACTTACCTGTTATGTTTGCATTTTCCCTTAGTTACACATTGTGTATGCTACAAAGCTAGAACTTTTGACGGTGCTGAACAAAATGTAGCTACAACCAGATCTTATATTGACAATCATCGTTGCATCCCACATTCACATGATCATGATTGGCAGCATTCCTTGCTAGCTTCCCAAAAGCAAAAGTCATTGGGGAAACCAGCAGAGAGCCACCATCCTGTGAGAGTTTCATTGAAGGACTCAAGTTCCTCATTTAATGACAGCAAGCAGGACTGCTGAGAATGCAGTTGTTGAGCAGCATAATCATGTGTTGTTGTTTTTTTTACTTATAAACACATCACTTAACAATTTTAGGTTCCAAGTGGTGTTGCTAAACAAGGTACCTTTCAAACTTTTGATGAAGGTGGATTCATTGAAGCATGTTATGCAAATTGAACTCAAATTGACAAATTCTTTACCCATCAATCATCACCTGGTGACTTCATGGAAGTCTATTAAGCCTATCATCCCTTTTGTAATGTACAGATACAGATTAACAGAGTTGGAAGGGACCTTGTAGGTCATCTAGTCTAACCCCCCCTGCCCAAGCAGGAGACCCTATACCACTTCTGACAGATGGCAGTCCAGTCTCTTCTTGAAAACTTCTAGTGATGAAGCTCCCACAGCTTCTGAAGGTAACTTCTGTTCTGTTGGTTGATTGTTCTCACTGTCAGAAAATCTCTCCTTATTTTCAAGTTGGATCTCTCCTTGTTCAGTTTCCATCCATTATTCCTTGTCTGGCCTTCAAGTGCTTTGGAAAATAGCTTGACCCCCTCTTCTCTGTGGTAGCCCCTCAAATATTGGAACCTTGATATTATGCCCCGCCCCCGGTCCTTCTCTTCACTAGACTAGCCAAGCCCAGTTCCTTTAACTGTTCATTGCATGTTTTAGTCTCCAGCTCTCTAATAATCTTGGTTGCTCTTCTCTGCACTCTTTCTAGAGTCTCATCATCTTTTTTATAGTGCGGTGACCAAAACTAGATGCAGTACTCTAGGTGTGGTCTTATTAAGGCTTTATAGAGTGGCTCAAGGAGCTGCATCTGTTGTGTGTTTTCTCAGTACTAATCATGAATGTAAGATGTTCTGAGACCACCCAAAAAAAAAAAGGAAAATGGTAGAGAGAAAATGATGATGAATTCTCAGAGACTTGGTTCTGGTACCTTAATTAAGAGTGGATGAAGGAACCTCTGAAGCCATTTGTTGCCCAACAGATGTTCAACTCTTGTTTCAATGTCTACCAGTAATTTATTTCCTCAAGAGGGAAGCTGCCAAATTTATTGCCAAATTGATAAATTGTTCATTCCCATGTGATCTGAAACCGAGGGATGAAGCAAAAGTGTTACTCATCGCTCGAATGTTCTGGACAAACAAACTGCTAAGCAAATTTAAGGAAAGAGCACATTTATATCAAATATGAATACCCACACACACACACACACCTGTATTGTAGTTATGCTTAATTCACACTGGGCCTTTTTTTTAAAAAGCTAATCTCCATGATGATGCATTGTTATAATTGCCAGGTACGAAAATTTCATCCTGAATTTGCTGCGTATCTTGTTTAATATCACTCGTCGGAGGGATGGGTAGGAATAGCACTGTTTACTACTTCTAAATTGAAGATCCTATCTTGTTCTGTTGGCAATGTGTGTAGGGAATACTCTAAATGTCGGAATCATTCTTGTGAGGGTTGGTGAATTTCCTCCACTTGAAAAAATATAATAATAACGCCACACTTCCTTTCACAGAGCATCTGGATAGAGAAGCTATTTTAAATAGTAGCACTTTCCATAACACTTAACTGTCGCCTGCCCTATCCAAGGGGGGGGAAGAGAATTGGGTGGGCTTTTTTTCCAATGCTTTTATCACCCCATCTCCTCTGATCAGGAAAGCAATTTCGTGCTGATTGCAATAAATCTTTAACTCAGCCAAGTCGTGGCGGTCTAACATTTCTGCGATCAAATATCCTAATAATTTGTTTAGATATTCCTTCGATTCGAATCTCGGTCTGCCTGAAAAAAAAAAAAAAAAACCTCTTGACACTGCAGTATCCCATGTTTTAAAATCTTAACACGGTTCTTTTCTTTTTCTTTTTATATTCCAGATAACCGGAAAATAACTATAGAAAGATCCCGTTCTCGTCAGAATGGAACAATCGCAGCGGTATGATCCCCATCCTCCCTTGCCAAAAAACTGCTATTTTGTTCACTTCGAATGGAGAACATGATGTAGACAGATCGTGAAGAGCAGCCGTGAGCAGAAGTTAAAAATATTTTTTACGAGGCTTCCTGTGTAGAAGAGAAAGAGAAAAACGACAACGACATAGTGTATATTATGAAGAAAAACTTCAAGAGCTAAAAGCAGTGTTATAAAACGGCTCTATTTCCTCTTCCTCCTCTTTTTCTCCTTTAGTATTGCCATTGTGAACAGGCAACCAAGGATGCAGATATGAATGAGGGAGCTATTTGCAGCTCTCACGAACGATGGGAATGATATTTTTTTTTCCCAGTTTAAATTAACAGTATCGAAATATCAGGTCAGCAATTCAGTTTTAATTCTTATTTTGACATAAAAGGAAACAAAAAAAATCAGCATATTAATGAATTTAGACGAACTGATGCAGTAGATAAGACACTGTCTTTTGCAAACACAGGGGAACAGTATCCTGTCAATTTTTCTCGATTCCTATTTCAGGGTTTCAAGCAGAATGGATTCAGCTCTTTAAGTTTCAATCAAAAGTTTATTACAACTCTTCAGCCTCAGCGGTAGAAAGATATTTTTAGCTGCTTTAAAGCAAGAACATAGGACTGAACCAAAGTCTGACTGCACCATTTGCAAATTCCACTAAAGAAGGATTTTTAAATTGGGCACATATATAAACTTTACATCTATAGTTTGAAGGGGAGAAATCCACACTACTTGTTTTATCTTTGTTTAATGTTTTGGAGTTTAAATCTATCGATGAGTAAGGAATCAGAATTAGTTTTCTTTGGTTTACTCAAACAAAATTTACACAATTTGGGGGCTAGCAAAACACCACTCACAAGCATATTACTGCTCTATGTATTTGGACTATTTTATTATTTGCAGCAATTCTCACCAATAAGTTTACAGAAGTAACTTTGATGCACTTTGGAGATGGCAAAGAAAAGCTGATATTACCATTTTAAGTGTTATTTGAAACCCAGGCAAACCAGCAACAAAAATATCACACCACATCTAAGATTCCTAAATAGCTTTTTTTTTTTTTCCTTTTTCAAAACTTCTACCGTGTACATCAATTGTCTACATTAAGGCATGAAGTTTCCATTTTAATTTTCTGAAGTATTTCTATGCTTCATAGAACATCAATCACAAAGCAAGTATAATAGATACCTATCTATATATTCTTTGCTTATTGAAACCTATTGCTTCTGCATGAGCTACAGAGGAAATTGGCAAGTACATATGTCTGCCTTGTAGAGAGATTATAGATAAATAGATCCTATTATAGATTAATTTCCTATTAGACCAAGAAAAAAATGATTTACAATACTGCCCACTCTTGTTACAAAGAATACAGGGCAAGTTGAAAAACATGGTTTACCTTCTTATAGATGTTAACCAATTACAGTAGACAACTAGATGTAAGAATTCCAGCTAATTAAGGGGGTCAGCCTTGTCTGAGGAGGTTTCAATCTCTAAGTTCAAAACCTACACCTCAGTAGGTACTTTATTATCAAGCAAAGTTGTGGAGTTGTTTGTGTGGAACCAATACCTTGAAGGCTTTACTTATTATATATGGCATAAAGTTCAAAACCTCTTACTAATTTCACAGGGAACTGATACGATCTGTTGTTTTGTAGAAATAGGATGTCAACTAGGCAAAGAGTATCTTTGACATAGTGCTACAAATGTTTCCGACAATCACTAATAGTTTTACTAAAAAAGAATTACTAAAATTCTGAAGTCATCTCTGTAAGAATTTATAAATAAGCAAACAATGATGTTCCTATCAGTCAGATTTACATTTCTCTAGCATACACGTTGTTTAATACATAAAGTTCAAAATGATAACTTACGTGAATGGCCAAAGTGTTTCCTGATGTATAGTGTTTACAAGTTATACATTAAAACTCAAAGATGACATAAGTCATTTCCTACTAATTGAAAGCCAAAACATTCATGCAATTATCAGAGCATCTTAAATATAACTTCCTTTACTTGATGCAGAATTTTTTTCTGACCATTACTGATTTTGGCTATGTTATTTTTCATTTTCTGACATTTTGCTGGTGAGCCAACCAGTAGTTTGCAACTAGAGATTTTAGAGAACAAAAATGTAAAATGGAACAAATGCAGGAGATCATCTAAATATGTTCTGGTACTTTCTCAGCCCACTCACACTGCTGGAATATTTTTTTGTAAATTAAAAGACATGTACCTTAATAAAGCAAAGAGAAAAATATATATTGTAAATAGAGGATATTTGTATTTATAAAAAAAATCCAAGAAGTATTTTCTGAACTTCATGTTGGATTGTTGAATCTTTTGATACTTTCTATTCACTTTAAACATTCAAGGTTTTTTTGTAAAAAAAACAAAACAAGAAAACAGCAACCTTGATTTTGCTATTGATGTGATTCCTGTTTTGTCATATGTTTACTTGGTGACCTAGGAAAATGTAGTCTAGAACTCAAAACATCTTCCAAATCTGCCTTGGCTTATTTGCTAATTTTAAGAAGGAAAAAGCACCAAATTCATTCATTGCTTGCAAATACACACCGAGACAAATAAATGCATGGACATTTGCATGTACACACATATAACTCATACATATTTGTGTACAGGGAAAGATGTTTAAAATAATAAACTGAGGAAAAAAAGTCAGAAATTAATGGCAAGGCTTCAAAATATTCAAAGCATATAGAACTGTTTGTAAGTATTATTCTAAAACTATCATTAGGTGTATGAAAGAAAGCTAAATTCTGTGGTTTTATACTGTTGTGCACACCATATACCATACCACACACATACACATACACTTTCATTTTTTTTAAAGTAAGTAAATCAAAAGTAAGGTTTAGCCTATACCAGTTGCTTTTCAAATAAAGTTGCCCACAGGTGTTCAGGAGACTATAAACATAGTTTGTGCTTTGATCCTGCAACCGTCATACCCAGCATCTAAGTGATAGCGCAAAGGTGGAAATAAAAATTTGCTAAAAGCTCTTATAGACAATGCTGACTGATGCTTTGTAATCAAACCACTATGAAAAATTTATAAATAAGTCACCTTAAACGGCTTCTAGATCTGTGTAATATATGTAGATGACTGTGACTGAAGTTTACCTGTCAGTGCTGACCACTATGTACCAATTCCTTCCCTCCTTCCCTTCCCTTCCTTCCTTCCTTCCTTCCTTCTTTCCTTCCTTTCCTTCCTCTCTCTCTCTCTTTCTCTCTCTCACACACATGCACAACCTCTCTAATGTTGTATACCTATATATACCCACATGCATACATATATGCATGCATACATGTTGTATATAGATACTACCTCAGAATGCTGTTTTTTTACACATGAACTATTCTTTTCTTCTCCTCCTCAATTAAAAAAACAACAACCTAACCCTGGGTCAGAAAGTTTAAATCTAATGCATCCTAAACCTGAAAATCTGAATTTGAACGAGACCACCGTGAATGGAAGAAGATAGTTTCTTTTTGTTTCTTCACCCACTATTATTTTATTATAGAAATAGAGATAAAGTAAATAACACATCTCCCAGTGTTGTCCCTTTCCTGTTAGGATCTTGTCTCATAGCATAGCAGTCAGTACTGGAAGTGTGTGTGTGTGAGTGTGAGTGAATGTAAGTGTATATCAGTATATTGAGGTCATTTTCCCTTTCTACAGTTCTGCTTCCAGCATTATTCTGAAATTGTATTAATAATCACAAATGCTATTATAAACAGTAAATGCCTCACTATAACACATTATATCAACATGTTAAGTAAGAGAGAGATAAGGTACTTGCTATGTATATTCTAACATATATAAAACCATGTATACAAGCAGAAATCTGGAATATTATTATTACTGTGCTCTAACACTTAAAAAATGTTTCATTTAGCAACTTAGTAGTGTGAGAGCTTCTGATACTTCATGGTTCCCACATCTGATTAAATACCACTGAAAAAATAACTACAAAAAAAAATCTACTTGACACCAACTGTTTTCTGTGACCTGATTCTAATCTGAGCTCTGATATCTCATTAAATAATCTTTTTGTTTCAAGCAATTCTTCCACATGCTTTTCAGAATGCATGACATTCTTCAAATCTTTATATTTGCTAGTAATAGCCACAGAACTTTGCACTTTAAAAAATTTGAAGAAAGAATTTTGGAGCTGGGGATATATATATGCTGATCATTTTTCCATGTGCTTTGGGTGAACAGCTTTAAAAGCTGTATTTAAATTTCAATCTAGTAAAAATCAACTTCTAGGTCAGATCTATTTCAATATACATTAACCATAAAATTCTCTTTTGGCTGGTATTAAATATTTTTGATAAGAAGAGTACATTATTAATGTGCACTAAAAAGCCTAAAGTATTTCTATGTAATGCCAACATTCCTTATTTGCAAATGAAAACTTGTTTCAATTATTTTAGAGCTGGGTCAAACCACTGATCTTCTAAACTTGTTTTAAAGAAATTGCTTTTGCTTTCAAATATATTGTATATATTTAATATTTTTAACACCATTAAAGATTGGGGGGTGGGTTTGGAGGGAGGTTTGTTTTTGCTTGATTAGATATATATTTGTTTAGAATGGAGAATGCCTTCTGTAATAACTAATTTTTTTAAAAAAAAAATCTAAACAATTCTATTCTTTTTCAACTGTCAACTGCTGGTGATACACGTTAAGAATATAACAATGCTCTTATTGAACACATTAAAATCAGTCTGCTTTATTTCAGATTGCCTTGAGTTCCTGAGATTTTTGTGATAAGATAATAAAAGTCACCATTCGATTTCAAACAATTGGTGACCCCAAAATCAATGCTTTAGAAGGAAGGTAGCAGTTTGAGGAACACGACGGGAAACTTGGAGAAGTTTTCACAAACAGAACCGTTTTGAGAAGAGAGCTTATCCTGAATCATGAGGATTGAGAAATACAAAAAGAGTCCTTTGCCAATCAGATTATCCAAGTAACACTGTTTGCCAGTCACTAATATTAATCAGCAACTATATTTCAGTTCTGTAAGCTTGCCTGGTACTACTGCAGATGAAGTCGAAAGTAGCAAGTTTATTTTCCAAAAACTGACATTTGCCAGATGTTCTAGATTTTCTCTTTCCCAGTGTGGAAGATGAAGCACTATCATGAGGACAGAATCTGATGTTACATAAGAACCAGACCTCCCTTTCCTAGATCTTCTAGATGACTCTAGGTTTCTAAGACCATCTCAAACCATGTTAATTTGAATTGATATTCTTCAATATTGATACCCATATGGTGGCGATCACCATACCATATCCCTATCCAAATATCTCCCATTCAGTCTCTTGGTGTTGTGGCCCGTCGGCTGCCAGCAGAGCTAGCTACAGGGTCAGACAAATAGGAGGTCGAGGGAGAACCTGGGCCAGCTTTGGAAGTCTCTGATAAGGAAACAACATCAGAAACAGAGGCAGAGTCTGAGTCGGAGTCTTCCATCCTCCCACAGGTGGAGAGGCAGCTGTCTTCGGGCCTAAGCTGAGTGAGCAGGAGGAACAGATGGGGCCCATCCCAGATGTGCATATGGGTAGAGAGGAGAGCAGAACAAAGGAAAGCAATAAGCCGGATCTCAGGGAAAAGAAGGTGTAGACTCTAACCTGCCCCTCCCTGGCTGAGAAATAAATAGTAGGGGTTTGGGAGTGACCAGTTGTCACAGACAACCATTCCTTTTCTAGTATACAGCAAGCAATTTGGATTCCTTGGCCAGAACCAGGTTTGTTGGGACTAATTATGTTTGTTTGTTTTTTTGTTTATCCACATGAATAAAAGACTATTCTTGCCCTGTTTTGAAAAGGGGTTTGGTTTACTCGTGAGTAAGCTGCTTATCATTACTTGCGAAGGCTGGGTCAGAACACTTGGGAGGAAAAAGATAGAGAAGATATTTCTTCCCTTGTTGACCACTGAATGCAGCAATCACAGGAGACAACATAGGAGCGTGGTGGCTCACAAGCTTAGAATGCTGGCCTGACAATCAGAAAGTCCACGTTCGAGACCCATTGCTGCCACAGGGTGGGGTGAGCTCCAGCTCCCGCTGACCCAGCAGTTTGAAAGCAGGCCATCACGAGTAGGTAAATGGGTACCATTTTGGTGGGCAACTTCATAGGGACATGAAATGAGCTCCCAACTGGATGTCCCCCCAGGCAATGGTGAAGTTACCGGCAAATCCTTTCGCCACAGAAGCATTTTGGTGCCTCCAACATGGAAGTATTAGTGTAGGAGATGACATCACACAGTGTAACAAAAATAGATTCTAAGTTCCCACACAAATAAGGGACATTAGAGATAGTTAATCAACTTGAGGCTCCCTTTTGAAGTTAACAGAGCGGTTATCTTCATTTTTATCTGGAAAATTCCCAAAAGTAGTCTTACAACTCTTTGATTCTAGGAAGGCTTCCCATTGTGTAAAAAATGTAGCAGGGCAAAAGAGCAAATAAAACAGCGCAAGTGAGATTCGTTCCCTGCTGTAGATTGCCAGGAAAGAAACTCTTCAAATAAAAAGGGGAAATAATAATAATAATCTTCCTTTTTCCCATCATGTCAATGCAAGTCCTGCATGATTTTCACAAGTTATTTAGCTGTGGATCTGCCAGGTGAAATATATAAGGGTTTTTTTTAATTAAAATTTAAGAATTGGAAACCCAAACATTTCAATGGAATTCCTGATAGAACAAATAACGGGATGACTTCCCTGCAGAGGTTGTGGGTGCTCCAACATTTGAGGTTTTTAAAAAGAGGGGGGACAACCCTTTGTCTAAAATGATATAGGGTCTATAGTTAGAACGGTTGCAGGATTATGTTTTGGCTAGTCTAGAGAAAAGAAGGGCTGGGTGTGACATGATAGCAGTATTCCAGTATTTGAGGGGCTGCCACAAAGAAGCACCAGAAGGTTGAGGGTGCTTCATCACTGGAGGTTTTTAAGAAGGGACCGGACAGCCACTTGTCTGAAATTATATAGAGGGGTGGGACTAGAAGACCTTCAAGATCCCTTCCAACTCTATTATTCTATTAATTATGTCAATATTCCTAGGATAAACAATTCTCATTAGTCTAAGCTTCTGCATTTTAATAATGTGCTGGAAGTGAAGGAAGATTTAGCTGTAGTTGCTACGTTATTGTTAAAACAATTAAGGAATAGACAACCTTGTTAGGTGAGCTGTATCTACTCTCCATTCTTCCTATTATGCACACTAGCCTTTATCTAAGGTAATAACAGTAGGAGCATGTTATTCTGAAACTATCCCACAACATAGCCAACCGACAATCTAAGATGGCTAAATCCGAAAAGGACCAACCCTGGATTAGAGCATCAGTGTAACATTGATGCAGGTCATTGCAAGAAACGAACTCACCAAGATCAAAGCCTTTATGATCTCATTTCATTCTCTGAACAGCTGTAAAATCTGACAGTGTTTTGCCAGGAGACCTACAGTACAAGATAGTTTATGTGAAACCTTTCAATTTGGCTGATGTGCCTGCAGTCATCTGCCCGTATTCCACATCCATGTAAAAGTGGAGATCGATTTTGTGGACAGTTGGTTAGGATGCTGGTGGAGGGCATGATGGCAAGCTATTTCAAAAGGTTGACTTTCCTGTTGCATTCTTTTGATCTCTCTCGAACCAAAGAGCTGTCACCGAAGATGGTAAAATCCCAATCAATGTTTTTTCCCCCCAGCTCTCAAGTGGCCCACGAGGACAATCAAACTGCATTGACAGTTGATGAAACCCAATTAAAAGCTGGCAATGTTCATCTCTTAGGCTACTGGGCTTTTGAACATAAGTCATGAAATTGGTGTACGTTGCTGTTTTCAGGCTGAGGAGATGAGCTTGTTGGCAAACCAGCTGCCCCTTTGCTCCTGAAAGAATTGAGGATTGAGTTGTGGATTAGATGAGACAGTTTATGAAGAAAGAAATATTTCAGAACAAGGATAAAAATGAATGATCAGTAAAGATATTAATAAACTCAGTTACATCTAAGGATCAACTTCTTTCTTTCCTATTCAAAGAATGTTTCTTATTGCTATGAAGTTTTGATTTAAAGTGCTAAAATCTGGATAGATAGATAAGATTTAGATGAGATGAGATGAGATGAGATTAGATGTATGAGAATTGAGAACTCACTGTTCCATGTCAGAGCTAAAACTGGAAGAGAAGAAGCACAAATGTAAGACAGTCCCTTCACCTCTGGTACATAAAGACCTCTGCTAGTAATCATGGTGGTGCAATGGTTAGAATGCAGTATTGCAGGCTAATTCTGCTGACTGCCAGCATTTCAGCTGTTTTGAGTCTCCTAACTAATCCTAAAAGCCCTAGTGGGACAATAGTTGGAATGCAGTTTGCAGGCTAATTCTGCTCACAGTCTGGAGTTCTAACATAGCTCAAACTTGACTCATTTTTTTTATGATTATGATTTGAGCTGTGGTGGTGCAGTGGTTAGAATGCAGTACTGCAGGCCACTTCTGCTGGCTGCCATGAGTTCAACAATTCAATTCTCATCATCTCAAGGTTGACTCAGCCTTCGATCCTTCCGAGGTCGGTAAAATGGGGACCCAATGTGTTGGGGGCAATCTGTATACCACTTACAGAGGGCTGTAAAGCACTATGAAGCAGTCTAAGTGCTATTGCTATTGCAGCCTTTCAGTGATTTTGAGATTCTGAATATGTCTCCTACTGAACCCCCAAAGGATTTTAGAGGAGCCTAAATATCACAGCCAAATATTTTGGAGATGAGATTCTAGTATTTCCTTCGCCTCATCAATTATAACCTTCAGATATTCATGTGGATGCAAATATAAGAAACAAGCTGAGATGAATATCTAATGCTTTCCAGTATTTATGCCATTTTTAGTGCAAATTGCTTACATCCTAACCAGAGAACCACTTTGGAACGTGATGGCCCATGTTTTACCGAATGAAATAAAACATCAAATGGAAGCCCTGGTCAAGCAAGCTTTATTACTACCACTAATAATGCATTTAATTGCTAACTGACAGAGGTATCCTGTGGTGAACATAATGTACCACAATGAATTGTTAACATAACATGTTGCAGCTGCCAGCAGGTAGAAAACTGCAGCCCCTGTAAATATTAGTTTGCCTTCATTGATTCAGAAAAGCTGGCAGAGATGATGGCTGTTTGGATGAACCACTTCTAGTAGAACATAGAATAAAAGAGTTGGAAGGGGTCTTGGAGATCTTCTAGTCCAGCCACCTGCTCAAGCAGCAGACCCTATGGTATTTCAGACAAGCAACTATCCAGTCTCTTCTTAAAAGATTCCAGCAATGGGGCAACCACGACTTCTGAAGACAAGGCATTCCACTGGTTAATAGTTCTCACTGTTAGGAAATTTCTCCTTAATCCTAGGTTGCTTCTCTCCTTGATTAGTTTCCATCCATTGTATCTTGTCTTGCCTTCTTGTGCTGTGGAAAATAAGTTGACCCCCTCTTCTTTGTGGTACCCATCAGGTATTGGAAGACTATCATGTCATCCCTAGTCCTCCTTTTCACTAGACTAGACAGAATAGAATAGAATAGAATAGAATAGAATAGAATAGAATAGAATAGAATAGAATAGAATAGAATAGAATAG